TGAACTCGTTAACATGCAAATAAAAAGAGAAAAGCTTTTAGGTAAACCTCCGTCGCTTAGCAACGCGATGTCCGTTTGAGGAGAGTTTTTGTTGTCGCTTGCTTGCGCCATTTTCCGCATCCATTTCAGTAAAAACCCCTGATTTCGTGTATGAAATTTGAGGATAAGTCCGTGAAGCGTTCGAATGAAATCCTAACTAGGATTGCACTTTACTACGCGGCTGTTTCTGCTAGGCCTATGACCTTGTAACGAGCCTTGTTACGGATCGCGTGACACTTATCAGAACAGCAATCCAACGAAGCTTCTAAAAGACATTTACAAGTAATTAGGTGTGTTGATATAAACGGTTTGCTCACTGAATTGTGCAGAATTATAAAAAGACGTGAAAAACATTGGTGCAGCAAACATCCGTCTATCTGCACTAGGAAAAACGTTATTGCAGTGTATATGCGATAAACGTTTGGAATGGACATACGAGAGGAGTGAGGTTCTGTTGAGTTACCTGTCTAAACCGAATTCGTACACATATAAGACTAGTTCTTTAAAATCTGCCCCTTTTATTTCACGCAGAACATAGGTTGACGAAATATCGGTTGCTGGGTCTACCTGAGCCCCAACAAGAGCGAAAGCGATCGTGGAGATAACCACTGAGTTTAGCCTTTCATAAGCAGTTACCCTTCCATAGAAAGGGGGATCTCCACGCTTTTTCGAAAGTTCAAAGCTTGGACATAGATCACTAATACGACATTTTAAGATGTGTATCATCCAACGTAAACACTAAACATATATCTGAATTTGATTCGTTCAATGACGAAACAAATTCGAAACGTTTGGAATTTTACTCTGTATTTCGAGTAGTAAAGCAAAATGCATTGGATGGGTAGCGCGTACTTGAAAGGTATTCCACCAGAAAATAGCTCTGTTATATCTGCTGATCGCCCAATCTGCGGTATTTGCCACTGACCCGCTCCAGTGCCTAGTGTCGGAGAGAAAAGACTCACGTAAGGGAACACAACAGCTATATTCCAACAAAGCGGGTGCAACAGCGTGAGGGCGTGCGAGTGCGAGAGCAAAGTTGCGACGGCCACACGCTGATAGGCGTTAGTGAACACCCATCAACATCCATAGTGCCTCTGTGAAAAGCCTGAACGCTGATCACATCCGGTTGTGCTTCTGTGGCGCGCAAGAACACTCATCAACTTTTGCTGAATTGATCGAATGATTGACTGGTCTGGAGGCTTGCCGGCTTTCCTGTTGAGTTTTTGGTGGAGCAGTAGGTTCCGGGCGTTCTGAAGTTGCTTTTAGGAATCTGACCTTCCTGATAAGTTCAAACACACTGAAGTGTACAGTGCACAAATTCGACATGTGACTGATTCACTCGCCTCGAATAACCTATGGTTTTGTGTAGGTTTGGAGGAACCTATCGTTTGTTCGCCAATTCACCCTGCGTTGCAATTAGAGTTGATACAATGACATAGATATCGTAACACGATATAAGAGCTAATTGATTATAAGAACTCAAAATGCTTTTGAAATAACTATTTCTAGGGACCGCACAGATAACACCGTAATTTTACTAAATTACGAACACATGGAGCAATCAAGGCGATCAGCTTTCCATCACGCCATCCTCTTGGTGCGCATCCAAACCTTTGGGAGGCGAATATCACTGAATTGGTTTTGCTGATCAGCATTGATGTGGCGTCTGCCTTTCATTGGTCTACATTTTTACATCACAAAATTGATGCGCGAGTGTTATTTACTCTGACATGTAAAAAGCCGCCAAAAATATCGATTGTATGTATATTGAATAGGATACCAACTAAAGATGAGCAAACACTAAATGAAACTTGGACAGTTTGCCAAAAAACATTCGGTCTTTCCAGAGTAGCATGATTACCGAAACATTTGGGCCACGTTTGTTCACAACAAACTGTGGCAAATCACACTGCTGAATTCGCAGCCACACACACAGTCGCTTTGCTACCAGTTTTTATCATTCCATTGCCAACAAATTCCCGTGGCTCAGAATAACATCACGGGTCACTAATGGCATAACCAATGGACTAATATCAACTTTCGCATTGTCAAAAGCACAGAATCAGGAAGTCACGATGGAAATGTGATTCTAAAATTGCCGATGGCTTTCATGTTTTATTAGGCGAATAAAACCAAACTCAATTGCAAACCCCACCGTCGGAAATCATTTATTTCACAGGAAACTCACAGGCGAGGGGGTTGTTTTTCACACCCAGTTCAAAGGTTTTGAGGCGGTGTTAGTTGGGTCACATTTAGTATTCCCTCACATTAGATGGCGTTCACTAGGAAGTTTGTACACCTTTGGATGCGTACATGTGAAGTTCTGTCTTCATTCCAACACTGTGCTTCAAATGGTGAATAATCCCTTGGTTGGGTGGTTGTGAATAATTGACAACCCAGCGAACCTTGTCCAAGAGAGAGCCATTTGGAGGCAATTTAAATAAATATTTCTAGGTTCAAGAAAACTAAAACACGAATTATTTGACAAACAAGGTGAAACGGGAAAGAGCTACCGTACCAAATTCTCGGTATATCCAAACCGGTCAATCCAACAGTATGGTAATTCGACTAGATTAGTTGTGGGTATTCGTAGAACACCTTAATTCTGTACTGTTACGTCTAATCTGGTGGCTCAGTACGATAGATGAATGGATGTTGAATGGGAAACGTCATCAGCGCCTCTGAGCCGAGAATAGCTGAAGAAGTCAATGCATGCTGATAGCCAAAAATCCATGTGATGAATTAGATATTGTCGAAATTAATGGCGTTACGATACGGGTTTTGCAGTTGAACAGCAAACTGTCAGCTGTAAAAGAAACTTGATTAAATCTAAACAAAACCAAGCCAAATACACACGACACACGCCACGCGTGCAAGAAAAGCGCATCAGCTCATCATGAACCAGCATGCCCCCAGTCACTTTACTCCCGCGTACTATGGCAGTCCATATCGCAAAGTAATTCAACACTCAGAAAACTCTTAAAAGTTTGATTTGATGTAGAACATTCAACAGTTTCAGAAGCTCGCAATCATATCCAGAAAGTCAAGAAAATCGAATGAAACAAATTGTCACAAAGCGAGATTCGGCAGAAGGCTGTCAACAATTCAGAAAACATATCCATTTAAGGACATAAAGGATGCACTTTGACACCATGTGAAGTCTGTGGAAGCAAAGTTGAACTGGATGAAATCGAACTGTATATTGAAGATCGAACTGATGTCGGGTGTAGTCAGATCACCACTTCAGCTTAATGGTCAGTATGCACGTACGTCGGAATTTCACATACAAAGACAAAATAAATTTCGGGCAAAAATCCTAGCTCTAACTAGTTAAACCTAATCTGATGCTAAATCACACCTGATAGTCCGCCACTCCGGAATGCTTGTATGCCGAAGACTAGGAAAGAATGTGTGGTTGTCTAGATTAACTTTGAGTGTACGAAATAGATTTTACGGTTTTGGCTACTTTTGCTAACAACCATGGTCAAAAATCAAACTTCTCACTGTTCGAAATCCAAAAAGGGGGCCCCGGATTTTGAACAGTCTACATAGCAAATTACAGTCACGTTGCCAGATTTGTCTTGTTCGAAAACTTTCAGGATAATGATCGTTAGAACCGTCTGCGATTGTGATTTATCGCGTTCTACATGAATGCGCGTTCGAAACTGCCCGACAGTCCAGCGCTTTGCTTATTAGCCAAAATCTGGTAACTTCAGTTGAGAACAAAGGGATTTCACGGGGCTAGATCGATCAGTGTTCAAATGAAGAATACTCTTAGGCGGATCACAAGTGATCCCACAGGCTGCTTAAGGTTTTTGGGCGTCTAAGGGCATGCGAATTTAATACAGGGTTACGGTAAGATCATATTCCAGTCTAAACGTGAGCACACGTTCATATAAACCCGCTTGCCTAAATGCACACCCAGCTTTATTCCAAGAAAGGCATGACCAACACTTAACTTTTATCTCTTGTGCCTAATTCTACTGTAGTACAGGCCACAGCTGTGCACTAATCTTTTACCCTTCTTAAAGTCCTTCAATAGTTTGTTGGGAATAGTTTTGTCCGGCTTGAGAAAACTGGACCCAACGAACTAGGTGACATGATGAGGAAAACTGATTGTCTGTATTCTATTGTCCTGTGTGGAGCAGATCTCTACTACGGAAAGCATCGGAAGCCGTCATAGTGTACCACTTTTTCCACTTATTATTACGATGACAGTTTGGGTGAACAGTTGGACTTTTTTGGGACAAACAGCACAACTGTATGCTGCCGGTGGGACAGCATCCTTGGGAATTTTTCTCGCCTTGTAGACAAGGTGCAGCTGTATGGGGAAATTATGTGAAAAGAACAGTCTTTCCGACAAAAAATTCAGAGCCATAATTTTTTTTTGCTTACCTACATCTAGGAGTCATTTTGAGGGCGACTGTGGGGGGGTGAAGACTACCTGCGTATCGATGATATTCCTCGAAGTAAATCATAAATTTCTCAAAAAGTGTTGGAAACATTATCAAGTTGTTTTTGGCTTTTATAGACGACTTGATTCTTTGGAATTTTGGAGAGTTTTAACGATTTTGACTTCTTCTATTTACTAAGAGGGAGTTGGGATCCTATTCAGTGCCTGGGGAATAGTTCCATCAGTTTGACGAAATGAAAGTAGGTTTGTGGACCACCTGAGCAGCCCCAGACATAATATCTAACCAACTTCACCACCATAAATTTTTGGGTAACCAAAGTTGGCATATTTAAAAACAAACCACCTTGTCAGGTCACGGCCATTAAACTTTATCAGTGTCTGCAACCAACAAGGGCTAAAAACCTCTGATTATTTGACCCCAAAACGAACGTCCAGTACACATAATTTGACCGGAAAACCGATTCCATTCGAATTTTTTTCTTCCGAATAAGAATAAATAGACAACACTGTGAAATGCTGAACTTGATCACAAAAAAACCAGCTTAGCATGGAGGGATCATATAGACTTTACCAGATTAGCATCCAAACCATCAAGCATCAGAATGGAACGACCATCTCGAATGAGGAAGAACGCCTTGACCGGTGGGCTGAACACTTTGAACAACAAATGTCTTGGCCACCAGCCGGCACTCATCTACAGCCCACAGGTGAAGTAGAACCCTGGACGGTGAACGTGGAACCACCTACGGCCTCAGAGGTTTACGACTGCATATGTTCTCTCAAGCGCCACCGAGCTCCCGGTCCGGATGACCTTCCACCCGCACTGTTCAA